TTCCTGCTGTCTGAAATCAGTGCTTCTTACGGAAATACTATGCTGCTCCCGTTTGGGCAAAAGTCCTTTTGCGCAAAGCTTTTGTGCAAAAGGGTCAGTGTAGACAGCTCAGATTTGTTTTGTGCAAAAAAGCCCCGATCATGAAAATGGCAATCGGGGCTTTTTTGCGGAAAAGCGCGTCTAGATTGGCATGGATGCTTTTCCACAAAAAGTGCTTTTGTGGAAAAGTGTCTGTGCCAATCTAGATGCGCTTTTCCGCAAATGCTTTTAATGGAAAACTTTTCTGTTAAAAGCATTTGCGGGAAATCATGCCAGTCTAGACGTAGCCAAAATGCATTTCGAAATAGTATTTTTCTATTTTGAAATAGCGTGTCCACACTGCGTGATGTTGAATCGCATTTAAGGCTGGTTGGGACCAGTTCTAGCAGGGCATCAGGTCAGAAGTTACCTTGTAGCCAAGGCGGCCAGCAGGGCACCATGGAAGCCTCCTATTTCGAAATAAGTGTCTACACCGCGCTTATTTCAAAATAAAAATTTCAAAATTGGCACTATTTCTCATGGAATGAGGTTTACCAATTTCAAAATAAGCCCTCCACTATTTCAAATTAATTTCAAAATAATGGAATGGCTGTGTAGATGCTAAGAAAATTATTTGGAAACAACAGCTGTTATTTCAAAATAACTTTGCTGTGTAGACATACCCTAAGGTGCTACAGGACTGTTCACTGTTTTTTTTTAAGTTTTATGCTTATCCAATTTGATATTCAAGGCATTTAATACAATGTGTAGAATTACAAGCTAGGTATTAGCAATGTTTAAAAAGCTGTTATTCAAAAGCATTGCATTCTTTCAAACAACAACCAGCTTTTTAATATTGTTAATGCTGGTAGCATGGGAGGACCCTACACAAGATCTGTCAGGTAGAAATTAAGAGAAGATAAAGTGATGTTCTTATATAATTGTCAGGGAAATATCCCTGAAGAAATTCCTTCTTCGTGATACTTCAGTATATTCCTGAGGAAAGCCATTTAGCTTTGGTGGCTTGAATGTGAAAGCACTAGCTAGGGCATGTCTACACGAGGAAATTATTTTGAAATAACTAAATTTGAAATAATAACTCCCACAATAACTATTTAAATCAGCTTTTTCCCTGAGGAATGTAGGAGAACAGATTTTTAAATAAGCAGCCTATTATTTCAAAATAACAGGCTTGGTAGTGTGGACGTTCTGCTTATTATTTCAAAATAAGGAGGGTTATTTTGAAATAACTCCTAGTGTAGACCAGGGTCAGGAGATTTGGTGTTTCCCATATCTGGATTTTTAAGAGAACGACCTCCCTCCCTCGAGTAACTTGCTTTACCCTAGTCACACAAGTTACATTTTCCTCTGATTGACCCACCATAATTCAAAGATAAAGAAGGGAGAGGTCAGGTGACCTGATCCAAAAACATTTCCAGGCCTTTTTCTTTTCCTTGGTTAATTTCCATTTCCACTAGAGACTACAAGTGCATTTGTCATCCTTTGTTTTCAGCAATAAAGTAGAATCATTTTTCAGTGTAATCCTAATCCACAATATATTTTGAAAGTTCAAAGATTTTTGAAAAGTGCACACAAAAATTCCTAATGGTTGTTCATTTTATAATGCAGATAGAATTTAAGGTTTTCTTATTGTTTAGAAAAATTCTGCAAGCTTCAGTTTAACGCATTGTGTCTGGTTCCTTGTAATAATATAACTTGTTAGTTATGAAACTAAAATTTCTGTACCGAGCCCTGTGCTGTTAATATGCTCTGACTGTTAATACAAAGATACAGGTATACAAACAGTACAAATAGTAAACACTATGCCTTCTTGTTTGTGGAGTTATTAAATCTATATAACACAAAATCCACTAACTTCCATCTTGCCTTTGAAAGTTTCACTAATATCTGATCACATATACACATGTTATGAAGAAATCATAGATGTCATTGTATTCTGTTTTGCTTAATATGGACAAATCAACATTAAAGCATATGAGTGAATAGAGAATTTCAGCTGCCAATTGAACATGGTGATTGCGCTTCACATACTTTATATTTCAAAAAATATTATTTGGCTGTATAGTCACATGGTAGACTGCAATGTTTTTAATGAAACCAGAACATGAAATAACTCTTTTGGTGGTTATACTCTTTTCAGCTTTGCCTTTGTAATTAGGTTGTTACAGGTGTCATTTGTAACATTACCCAAAATTCCCTGTGCTTTTCTAAGAAAAACTGTGGAGATGTATGGAGACCAGAGACATTTTATAAATGTCAGGATGATCTAGATGGTGCTTGGTCCTGCGATGTGTGCAGGGGAGGAGACTTCATGACTCTCGAGGTTATTTTCAGTTCTATGTTTCTATGATTGTTTAGTTACCTAATGCAAATGATAAGTTATTATGGTTTTGAAAACTCAGAATAGTCACAACTGCACCATCAAAAAATCCCAAGTATCAGAACCACATTATTTCTTATGAGCAGAACTCCTTAGTTCTACAGAGATGAAAAGAGGTGAGGGGAAAGTCTCATGTTAAAATAAGTGCAAGAATGAGGTAGAAGAGAAAAGCAAGTTGGTAGAAAGTGTTTGGTATGAGAGCAGACAAGTATAAGTTCCATGATGGAGCAAGCACATTTAGGCTACGTCTAGACTGGCAAGATTTAGCACAAATACGCTAAACGCAAGAGTTTTTGCGTTAGAGTATTTGAGTAAGAGAATGTCTATACTGGCATGTGCCTTTGCGCAAAAGATTTGCTTTTGCACAAAAGCATCCCTGCCAGTGTAGACGCTCTCTTGCGCAAGAAAGTTCCGATGGCCATTTTAGCCATTGGGCTTTCTTGCGCAAGAAATTGATGTTACCTGTCTACACTGGCCTCTTGCGCAAGAACACTTGCGCAAGAGGACGTATCCCTGAGAGGGAGCGTCAGAGTATTTGTGCAAGAAGCACTGATTTCATACATTAGAACGTCAGTGTTCTTGCGCAAATACTCGCGGCCAGTGTAGACAGAAGGCAAGATTTTGCACAAAAGCGGCCACTTTTCCGCTAAATCTTGCCAACATAGATGTAGCCTAAGCTTATTAAAAACAAGGAAGGTCTTTTATTTTTTCTGTATTCTTAAATAAAGGAACCAATCTATAAAAGACTGATTTGCAAAGTCACACAAGTACACACTGCATAGTTGGCTACACTGAAAATATATTCCTTTGTGAACACAAATGTGGATTTGCATATGCACTTGGGTTCATGGCATATTTTGTAGGTTCAACAGACCATAAGGGCTCATAACTGAAGCCTGAGACAAAGGAGTGTGCCTACAATGTGTATATGACACACACAAAAATGCCAGTACATCCAGGGAACAGGGCTGACACCACAAAAATCTAGGTTTGGATGTGCTTTCATTTGTTTTGTATGTATCTCACACTACTCAGTTACTATTTTATGTATAAATAGACTATGATCTGGAAAATACACAAACTACCTAGGAAAGAAGAGCAGTTTCATTATTAAAGAGAGATAATTTGAGATGAGAAGACATTTTCAGAGATGGTATATTCTGTCTGATTTACCAATGTGCACAGGCCTTAATACATCTTTCACCATTATTACCACCTGACAGCTTTTCAGCGTCCTTTGGGAAATACAATGGTGGTCACAGTCCAGTTCATAGTGGACAGGTGTCACCATCATAGAAATCACCACTCCAATTGGCACTAATTGGCATGCTAGTTGACATTCTTGACAGGAAGGCCAGTGATTGAATGAGCATGAAGACTGAATTTCAAGCTCCATTGAAGAGGGGATCTGGACCCAGACCTTCTCTCTCTCTCTCTCTCTCTCTGAAAGCAGTGGTAGTTCTGCAAGATATTTCAACTAATATAAGTTTGGGCCCATTGCCTTTTTATTTTCCATGCAAACTGCATGCCAGCCTCTCACACTGCTCTCATCATTGGGCTGCCTAGACAAAGCCCAACGCTGTCATCAATTACTCTAATTTTGATCTA